CTCGAATCAAGTCGAGTTTAAATCGAGTCGAGTTAAATATTTAACTCAACTTGAATTTGGCTTGACTCGCAAATCATCAAGTTAAAAAAATATAAACTTGACTTGATTTAAACTCGACTCGGCTTATCTGACTCGTGAGTTAATTCAACTCGTCTGGAACTTTATTCCTAAAGAAAAGAAGCAAAAGGAACGTTAATGGCATTCCAAAGACAAAGAAAGTCAAAGAAAAACAAAAAAAATCCACACTTAACTTACTTTTATGACCCAAGCTGAAATCCAGGTCTAAGAAGGCGTTTCCTAAAGAAAAGAAAGAAAGGAATGTTAGTAACTCCAAAAAAAAAACTGAATTACCCTCTATTCCAATTAATTCTAAATTCCGAAGTCCAAGTCCATGTTTATGTCTGATCCTAAAGAAAAAAAAGGTGTTTTTTTTTTAAAAAAAAAAAAATAAAATAAAATGACCAGATTATCTGATTAATTTGATCATCCGCATAACGTCTGATCAATCTGATGTTATCTGAGAATCACATCTGAATTATTCACGATCCATTCATTCATAATCTGAATGATCCATTTTTTGATCAGATCAGATGACAGATTGAACGGATTTCATCGAAGCATACCTCTATATTGACAGTTATATTACAAATTTAAAACCCATTTTCATTTTCAGAATTAGCTAAATAAAAAGAAAAAATCTCTACTAAAAGGCTTTATTTTTGGTATTTGATAATAAATAAAAAGATCAAAAAACTATCTTGATCAAGAATTTAATATTGTAATATTTCATATTATCACTAGTTTTATTGCTTTTAATATAGACTCTAAAATTATATTCAATATACTAATGTATTTTAGACTTCTAATTCTATTAACAGGATACAATATAAAAGTTTTTTTGATCTTACATCTGAAATAAAAGAAGTCTTAGAAAATAAGTTATATACTTTTATTTTCAAAAATTTTAATTTATTATATAAAGAAAAATTATCTATAACTAATAAAATTAATTCTCTTATAATTAATATAGAATTAAATAATCTTAACAACAAAAAATGTCTTACTTATAAAGAATAAAATATTGATAATCAAAAACAAGTTTATCTGAAATGCTAATCTTGTCTACCTATATTAGCAGAATTATCAAAATAATATGCTAAATTAGAAAAAGATATAAAAAATCAATCAATAGTCTTTAAAACTTAATATTGAAAAGGAAGTACTATTATCTATTATACCAAGAATCAGTATACTCAGAAAACTTCTGCTAATGAGAAATTAGTATTTCAGAGATCTATATTCCTGATCCCCTTAATATTAATCCTAATACAACTATAAATGTTGAAAAATTCTCCTTCATATTGAGAAAATATCAAAAATTAAAGATGAAAAATGTAAATAAGTATATGTAATATGTAATAATATTCTATATCATCATATAATTAAGGTAAAGAAGAAATATTTATGTCTGATTCTCATTTTTAGATAATTACATAAAGAACATACAAAAAGTGGACAAAATTATTTGCACACCCTCTATAAATGCAAATTAATACTAAAAAAGTCATATGATTGCAATAACAAATTGCGATTATATAATATATTAGTGTTTATTTATATTATAAACATAAAAAATAACAATTTAATTTTTTTTTTATTTTAATTTTTAAATTTTTTTTTTTTTATTATTTTAATTTTATGCATTTTTTTTTGTTTGTTTTTAATTTAATTTATTTATTTTTCCCCTTCCCGAACTTTTCGTTTTTGTTTTTTTTTAATTTAATTTATTTATTTCCCCTTTCCCGAACTTTTTCATTTTTGTTTTTTTTTAATTTAATTTATTTTATTTCCCCCTCCCCCGAACTTTTCGTTTTTGTTTTTAATTTATTTTTTATTTTATTTTTTAAATTTTTTTTTTTATTATTTTTTTTTAATTTTTTGCGTTTTCATTTTTTTTTTTAGTTTAATTTATTTATTTCCCCCACCCGAACTTTCATTTTCGTTTTCGTTTTATTTTTTTTTTTTTTTTATTTTTATTTTTTTTATTTTTTTATTATTTTAATTTTTTGTGTTTTTGTTTTTGTTTTTTTTAATTTAATTTATTTATTCCCCCACCCCCGAACTTTTCATTTTTGTTTTTAATTTTTTTTTATTTTATTTTTTAAAATTGACATTTGAACTTGACTTGATTTGAATAAATTCAAGTCAAAATCGAATCGAGTTAAAATCAAGTCGAGTCAAATTGAGTCGAGTTTAAAATTTATATAACTTGAATCAAATCAAATTGAAAGATTTTATAAAATAAATTTGACTTAACGTGATTTGAAAAAAATGAGTCAAATAGAATTGGTCTTTAAACTCGACTCGACTCGATTCATTCAGAACTCTAGTCATAGAGACATTATGTGGTTCATAGAGCGGTAATGGAGAGAAAATAGTTGGAACATACGTATTGGGAGAAGTATAGAATAGAGCTTAGTAAATGGCGGAGAAGCTAGGTTTATATGTAACTCGTTTCAAAGACAAATAAGCAAGATCAATAGTTTGGGTTGAATAACGTGCACTATCTGGTTAATTTCTCATGATACTGACCGTCCATTGATTGCTATTTGCATTCTTAAGGTTCCTCAAAAATAGCGAAGCCACAGGATGACAGTAAATGCATGAAAATGTCTGTATAGTTCCCTATGAATTCGCCTGACTCTCTCTCTCTTTCTCTCTCATGTTTTCTTGAAAATAGTTTTTGATAAGCATTCTCAGTCCCATTCAGTTTGAACATCGATTACATCGCCAAGTTAGACCGGCAGTTAGGGTCGATCAGAGATTCTTCGGAATATTTTACAGCTAATTTTAAAGTCACAGGATGGATGATCATTTTGCAGATTGATAAAAAAACTCGGTAAAACTCAGTAAAGAATTTTTTGAAGAAAAAACATAATCGTTACGTTCAGATTAGTGTTCCGAATATAGCGACATAATTTTTTTACCCATATATAAAATGTGGTTGGCTTTTCAATTTCTTATAAATGTTCTCAGTAAAGTCTCAGATATTCTCAGCTGTCTCGTAACTTATGAAATTAGCTATAATTACCTTGCGATAGTCCAGTCATCCAGATATAGTAAAATGAGGGCTATACATGAACTGGCAAAACTATATCACGTGATATACCTATGTTTCCGTTCATCTGTATCAACTGGATATCCAAAAGTAACGATACATAGCTTGACATTAAAGAATGAGATCGAGTTTTGCGACACAATGGTCAAAGCGGAGGCTGTGGCTAAAAGATGGCTTACTGCAATGGTTATTACTTTTCTGGACAAGAGCAGCATTTACAATAGGGTGGATGGGAAGAAATATCACTAACATATATTAGAAGATAGGGAAAACAAGGTAATGCATAGTTATTATTTACATTTATGTTATATACAACGAAATGATTATTAGAAAAAACACAAGCAGAATCAAGCAAAAGAGTTCTGGGACGCTGTCTATCAGAAAAAAAAACAGATCGATATATCCCCCACCTTGACCTTGAACCAGTTCATAATAATATGCTTTGATAAGACCTCCGCATTTACTGGTAAAGTTTTTATGGTCTTTGTTGAACAACCAGACATCAATCCTGAATTCTCATTAGTTTGTTAGAAACGGATAATCAGAAAGTCTTTAGGACAATTCGCAGAGCACTTTGCAATCAATGGGAGAACATCATTGGAATTTTCGCAGATACAAATTTCTCAATTGGTGACTTAGTATCTGCTCAAGACGAAGATGATTCTGTAAGTTCAAACCTGTGATATTTTTCATATTATGACCTTTATTTATTTTGTCTAATGCTGGAAAAAATCAAAGGCGAGAGATTTGAATTTTCACGTTCACAGACTGTTTGTTCACATTACTTCAACAGATTGCTTAAGGTTTGGATCTAATTGTTTTTTGCAGGTGTCAGTTGGAGTGTTTGGTAATAATATTTGTTTATCACATAGCAATACAAGTTACTCCGAAGAAGAAATGAAGATGGGTTACAATATTGTTCATTATGGTCAGCCATTGTGGCAGTCTATGTGAAATGGTATGACATATAATGCACCATATGAGAGGTATCGCTACTTGGTGAATATAGCAATGACAAAGCTATGCGGTGGAACTTTTAAGTGGGAAAAATACTGGCAATAATCTGCAACAGCCCTGATGGCTTGCACTGTTTGCATCTACATCTGTCCTCTATCACATATGGCAAGAGACCTAGTCAAATTACATATGACGATAATTATCACTGCTGAGGACTCTGATAAGAAGCATCTCATTGGATATCCATCAGAACCAATGTTATCAGAAGGAGTATTGACACTGCTATCGAGGCCTGACGTTGAGCTTGAAGTGCTGAAAGAGCTGGATTTAGTTAGAAAAGAAGGTGGAGTTATTAATACTGGCAATCGAGGAGATCTGTGTGCAAGAATACTGCTATTAAGTGCAAGGCGTCGGCAAATACTATCCTTTAGGAAGGAAAATTGTGAGGTACATATTGAAACTCTCATTTGTATACTTTACATCGTCGTTATCTTATTGTATCTTCTTTTATGTAAAGAATTATCCAACATTCTCTGCCTATCAACCAGTTATTGCATACCTTCATGAACTGTTCTCTTCTGATTTTTCCCATGAGAAATTCTAATACCTGGCAGCATATGATATGGGATTCACACATTTTGTCATGCTTGACCATATCCCAGATGAATCTACTTTGCAGCTCTGTTGGGATCGAGGTGCAGCTATCATTTACCAGCGCAACCAGCCAGATGCAGATATCGCATTAGTCATGTGCCACTGAAATGAAAAAAAATTAGCAGTATTGAATATACAGGTACAATCTTTTTACTACAACAATTATTGTGCATGTTCTTTCTTATATTATAGAGAGAATTTTTGCAACTGAAGGATTGTATCTTTTCTAGGTAAAAAATCATGCAAGACCTAAAAGCAGAGGTGTGTGAAATTACGCTGTTACTAATGGCCTTCGGACATCAATAATACTGTGCAAAACGTGTGTACATTTAGAGGATTCTTCTGTTGGTATTTATATTCAAATCGGTAAGAGGATGTTAATCTATTTTTATACTGGTTAATGCTCCATGTAATCAGTTTATTGATTATGGTGAATTGGATAAGTGAAGCATATGCGAATAACCTAAAGTTTGAAACATACCACTATGGTGAAGGAAGAAATCGTCATGGGAATATGATGTTAAACTTTTCTAATACTAATGATACTAAAAAAACAAACAGGTTGGTAGTTCTCAGCTTGGGTTACTTCAAACTTGATCGATAATATTACGAGGTCATCCGGAGTCTCCTGCAGTCCTGAATCAATAAATTAACAATTTGTAGACTAACAGAATGTTTTCAGTTATCTATAGCTCTCATGCTACCAAAAGGTGACTGTCATATTCCTTCCTCTTCACAGTAATAAGACTTCATAATTAATGCGAATATTTCAACAGGGTAAAGGAGATCAATAATGACAATGATGAAGACATAAAGGATTATTTGATTAATAAAAGATGGAAATCTGATGAACAAGCGGAACAAGATGAGGAATGGCCTGAAGAATATGAATAGTATGTATTCAGATATGTTGCAACTTATGCACTTCTCTAGCGAATTTTAAATAAATTCTTAATTATACAAAGAATTCGTACCTTCTCCTGAATAAGTTTATTGTTATGTTACAAGTTTACATATATCATTGCTGTCTTAAGAAATGTGAATGGTCTGATTTGTCCTGAATCAGTTCAGTTTCTATTTTTTAAAACTGAATCATAGCCACATCTGCTAGCATAGGAAATGATGTTCATAATAGTAATGAGTAAGTAGCATGCAGCGAGATTTTCTCCTGGATAACAAAATATGAAAAGGAATAAAAAAGTGATAAAATTATATATAGGATTACCTGTATATGGAAAATTATAATTATAATAGTTC